AGTCCTCTAGATTTCAACATATTCTTTATATTATTTTCATAAATTTTACACCAATTTGAGTGTTGTAAATTTATTTAATTTTTTTATACAATAGTTAAACTATTCATAAGTTGGAGATTATTGTGTGTTTAAGCACGCTCTATCCTCAAGAACTAAGTTAGGTTGAAACTTCATGGAACAAATATAAATAGTAATAAAATGAGGATTAGAGTCTAATTATTAAGTTATTAATTTTAAAATTAAAAAATTAGGGAGTTAGGGTCTAATTTACTTAATTTGAAATTGATAGTGAAGTATTTAAACTGAAAAATTGATGGTTGGGGCTTAATTTGTATAGTTTCAAAACTAAAAGGAATCTAAGAAGCAATTTATCTCAAAAATTGAGAAGCCACAGTTTAATTTGCCTGGTTTAAAAACTAAGAGGACTTCAAAATTAGTTAAACCTTAAAATTGAAAGGAGTCAAGATCTAAATTATCTAACTTCAAAATTAAGAGGATTAAAATAGTAATTAAACCTGAAACATTTGGGGTATGGCTCCTCCCACTGTATATGGTGACTCTTTCTCCTGTATGTTATAATCACAATGGTGTTAAAGAGAAGTAAAACTCGGCTGGAATTTAAAATTTTATAAGTTGATGAACAAGTAAAATCATGTAATATTTGTATTTTGATTTGGACAAAAATGGTAGGTAATATCGTTGATATGTCCCATAAATAAGTTGTCAATAAAGCACAAGGAAGCTGAAGAATACGCTGCTTTAATCATGGAAGCCCTTGACATTGAACATCAAGGCTATATTCAGGTATTTCATTTCATTCTCATTTTATTACTCTTCTAACAGTTCAAGAATGGGATTATCCATTTCAAAGAAGTTGATATCTATGAATTGTTTAATTTAGATTTAGATGATAATGGTGATTTCCTTTTCGGTTTAGCCATCGGATCTTGAAGCTCTTTTCAAAGCACACTTACCAAAAGGCTCCTCAACCATTTCATATCAGAAGAATCGTCGTCACCATCATCAAAAGCAAGTCTCTTTATCAAAGGCCGAGATATTGTTTCGTTCATACTGGAGACGAGCATGGATAATTCTGTTGTGGTTAATGATTTGCTTTACACTTTTCACATGGAAATTCATCCAGTACAGTCATCGCTCAGCCTTTCAAGTCATGGGGTATTGTTTATCCACAGCCAAGGGAGCTGCCGAGACCTTGAAATTAAACATGGCTCTCATTCTTCTACCCGTTTGTCGAAATACAATCACATGGCTGCGCAAGAATCCAGGGTTTAACTCTGTTATTCCCTTCAATGACAACATCAACTTCCACAAAGTAAGTCCTCGCTTTCTTCGTATATCAATTGTGCAAGGATTGTCGGATTATGCTCGACTCTGATATAGTTCGACAATCCTTGCATCCAGTTAGAATTCTTGGAATTATTCAGTGTGGGAAAGCTCCATTTTGCAGCTAATTGCAGGAGGAATAGTGATTGGTGTTATTCTCCATGGGGCACACATCTGGCCTGTGATTTCCCAAGAATTAGTGGATCAGATCGTTCGGTTTTTCGACAAACTATAGCCAGCTGGATTCGGGTACCAGCAACCGTCGTATTTACAGATATTGGCCACAACTGAGGTTGCAACGGGGATTACCATGGTGATCTTAATGATGATAGCATTTACATTAGCGACCAACTGGCCTCGACGCCGGTCTCCGGCACTTCCTCGATCCATCCGAAAGTTCACTGGATATAATACGTTTGGTATTCCCATCATCTGTTTGTTCTGGTGTATGCTTTGCTCATTGTTCACTCAATGTTCCTCTTCCTCACAGATAATTTATCTGAAAAAACGGTAAGAATCTTATGAATCTATAAGATTGTTTGTAATTTTATGTTATGATATAACTCATATAAGTCGTTGATTTCCTAAATATTGAAATTCCATGCCATTTTACTTCAAATATTCATACCAAACACTCATATATAGCATTTGTAGCTGAGTTACATAGCTATAGCAAAAGAGAGGATTACTATAAAGAAGCATATTACTATGTTGCTCCGATTCTTTATTTTTCTTAAAATATTTATATCGGAGTTTTTAAAAAATTGTATTCGTATTTGATTAACTATGACATGAGTTGTGATGTTAAGAATGTTCTTACATAGACATGGATGTACATTGCCATTCCGGTTTACTATATGCTGGAGAGAGGATGATTCGAGCTATAAGATCAGGGTTTTCTGAAGTTAAATTCTTGAAGGTATGCTTCATATAACGCAAGTTTCTATTGATAATCTGGTCCGTCCCTAAATTTTTACAAGTTCACACAAGAAAGGAAGATTAATGGAGTAGATCCTGAAACACTGAGTAGGATTGAATTCAGACGCATCTCTTTTTATTTGTTTGAAACGTTTTCTCTCCGAAATATGCATATTACCACCTTCATAAAAATGTTAAAGAAAAATCTCTTTGTTGTTTCTGAACACCATTTGCAGGTGAGCTTATATCCGGGGAAGGTGTTGTCTCTAAAACTGCAAAAACCACAGGTTTTAGGCACAAGAGTGGCATGTATATTTTCATTCAATGCCCCCAAGTTTCACCCTTTGAATGGTAAAACATGAGTTGATGTATATTATTATGATATTTTACAAGCTAATTGTTCAATGCTATTCTGCACCACCCTGAATGATATTTGGTTATCAGGCACCCATTTTCCCTAACTTGTGGACCAGAAGATGATTACTTAAGTGTGCATATCAGAACTCTTGGGGATTGGAGCTATCAGCTATATGGTCTCTTCCGGGAGGTAAATATTACTATTCGAATTCGAATGTGAGTTTAAAATACGAGAATATATGTATAATGTACGAGTATGTTCAAGTTTTACTATTTTATTTTCCATTTTTAGGCAAAAATAACAGGACCAAAGCAGCACCCAAAAATCTATATGATGGACCATATGGAGCTTCTTCTCAAGACCACATTAAGTATGATATTGTGGTAATGGTTGGCCTTGGCATAGGAATCACACCTTTCATTAGCATCCTCAAAGATATTGCTACCCGCCTCAACAACTCCACCATTAATCATGTAAATAACTTCCACCCTTTTCTGTTCTTCAATATCTTCTTATTACAAATATCGAGTGTTCGGTACAAGTACGTGTTTGACACGGATAAGGCTTTTTTTTATATATAACTTGTTTGAACATTTGAAGAATCATATTCGAGTCAGAATAACATAGCAAATGAACTATGTTCTTCGATTGACTACAAGTGTTGTGAACATAATGTAGGCAGCTTGTGGAGAAGGCAGCCTTGAGAAGACACCATTCAAAGCTTATCTTTATTGGGTTACAAGAGAACAAAGCTCTTTTAATTGGTTCATGGATGTTATGAAGGAAATAGCTGAAGCAAACGAAAAGCAGGTGAGAATCTCTAGTCATTCTTCATCCATCATCTAAAAAACCAGACCGGACGGTCCATTGAACTTGTTCCATCAAGAGCCAATGTTTATGAGAACAAACAAATTAAAAGCGTGTATGCAAAGCCAGTTATTAGGCTTAGACTGTGTTTGATAAAATATCTATTTGTTTAGTCTGTTGTAGAGATATCAATTTCCTAACCAGTGTATATCAAGAGGGTGATGCTCGTCGGCTTTCATCACCGTTATACAATCTCTGTATCAAGCCAAGTATGGAATTGATATTATCTCTCGAACTCCGGTGAGCACGAACTCGATCGGACTTGGATAATTTATGTATTTATATTATGTTAATATCATATATTTACAAAAACAAAGTTTTGTAATGTCAAAGTAATGAGATTTTTCAGGTACACACACAATTTGGTCGACCAAACTGGTTCAACATCTTCTCAAAACTGGCTAGGAGACATAGAGGGGCTAGGATTGGTAAGAAAAGCTCATATAATATCTATATTACTTATATTCGAGTGCGAGTATCATATATAAATATGTATCCGATACGCTATTTCTTATTTTTAATGAATCATATTTTTTTTAATACAAACATGAATTTAGAAGTGAGGTTTTGGAGCAGGCGTTTTCTACTGTGGACCAAAGGCGTTAGCCAGAGAGTTGGAGAAGTTGTGCACCAAATTTTCCACCAAAACCAACACAAGATTTGTGTTTCACAAGGAGTATTATTAGCATTCTTATGGCGTTTTTCTTTATAATTAATGTTTTCTTGCAAACTTCAACGTGAAAATATAAATTCTTTGTACAACATTTAAACTAGAAAATGGATATTTTCAAGATCAATATGAAAATTTTAAAATACGTAAGAGTTTATGTTCTTGGTTGGTATTCTTCTAATTAATACACAACAATTTGTATATTTGTACGGTAGTCAATTCATGTACTATTATTTTTTTTAACATAACTATATTTAAGAAACCATGCATTTTACTTTAAACACGTTAATATTGCATTCATATATTTTTGGGTAAACTACCTCTTTAGTTACTAAACTATAGGGTAATTTTATTTTGACCACTAAACAAAAAAAATCATTTAAGTCAATTAGCTTTCAATTTGATTTCAATTAACTCATAGATCGTGAACTGTTAGAATTGTTGACATGACAAATAAGTAAATTTCTATAACGACATATATGATCCTTATTATTTGCACATTCTATCAATTTGATCTTACTTTTAAAATCTAATTAAAATTTTAATAATTAATTAACAAACTCTGGCTCAGTTATCGGAATACAATCAACAGGTAATTTACCCTCACATTTTATGTATTTTAATTATTTTCTGTTTCATATTTGTATTATTTAGTTTATGTTGTGCTTAAAACAAAATAGTGGGGCTGATATTGGATATATGCATTAAACAAAATTTACCATCCCCAATATTTTCATTCGCAATCGCAAGGAGTTGGAAGAAATACCAAAATAAAATCAAAGCGGATTTATTTTAGATGAAAACATCCTTCCAAAAACATAGAATTGTCCTTGTCAAAGGCTGTTGAAATTTAAAACCATCACAAAGTACATTAATTCCCAGAAAGGAAGATGTATTACTGGGGGGATTATTTAAGTACCTCAACAAAACATTCAAAAGGAAGCACCTCCACCATGTCCAGAGAAACAGTACACTGATTTTTTATTTCGTCACTATCGGAAAAATATTTGAAATCAACCCTCCAATGCTGATGCTCCGGATATAATCTCAATCAACTCAGTGGTGATCGAAGCTTGACGGGTTCTGTAACACACAAATACGACCAACACATATCTACTTCAGCTATGAAAAAGCAGTAAAAAGTTATAGCAACTAAATGAAGTTCGATAACACATGCCCAAGAACAGAATAATAATCAAGTGTAGAAACCGTTTCACGTGAAAGTTCACGTTTATAAAAACAAGAGAGGCACGAGACCTGTTATATGTAAGAGTAAGGCGATCAAGCATATCGCCAGCATTTCTGCTTGAGCTATCCATAGCAGACATCCTTGCCCCTTGCTCACTACAAGCATTCTCCAAAACCGCATTGAACATGACCTGGGGGAAATACAAAATTCTTTTTAAGGTAAATTACAGACTGTAGCAATTAGCAGCAGGCACATAGCAGTAGATAAGGAAAAGGGGAAAAATGAAAACAATAAAAAATTTCATATTTTTGGCAGATTTTTTACTAGATAAGGTTACTTTTAACTCAGAAATCAAAGGAATATTTGTATTAATGAATAGCACATGGAATGAGGTTTTGTCATCATAAAACAGCTCTCAACAACCAAGAGTATCATGTCAAATTCACAAATTTGAAAAATGGGATTCATTTATTAAGTTATAGTTCATGACATCACGGTATGACTTCCATGCAGAATAACAAGAAATAAGGACGCTTGTTTCAAACAGCAGGACATACCAGGAGAACTGGAATTCAGCCAGATTTTGAAGTATTTCACCCTTTGTCTCACCACCCTCAACTTCGTAGTTGTCTAGATCACCAAGCTTTCCCCCAGATTCAGCTTCCCTTTCAACAATCTATACAAATAAAGCAGCAAGAAGAGAATATATAGAGCAGCGCCTAACCAGGGAAAAAATATTTATCAATCTGAAAATTCCACTCACTTCGGGTGATAATACAGTTGACACTGTTGGTAGAAATGAAACTACAGAGTGAAACTTGTTGAAAACAATCCTCAAAGCATCAAACTCCACATTCTTTAAGATCTCATCAGCAAGAACAGAGACCTGAAGGTGAAAATATTTGTGAGCATGGAGAAAAGAAATAGAAAATTTGCATAAAAAAGAGATCCATCTATCAGAAAATTCCATTTCATTCAAGTGATCGATGGGCTAAGACAGTTAGCCACAACCTCTACAACATTAAAAAGAAGCCAGATATTTATCAAGGTAAGGTGAACAAAATATTTGTATGTATGGAGAAAAGAAAAAGAAAAAAATCCATAAAAAAGAGATCTGTATATCAGAAAATTCCAGTTCATTCAAGAGATCAATGGCTAAGACAGTCAACCACAACCTCTACAACACTAAAAAGAAGCCAGATATTTATCAAGATAAGGTGAACAAAAGAGTGGATTGAGGGAAGTCCAGATTATAGTCTTCATTTGATGTTAGGTGATTGGATACTATTAAGTTAAAACTGATATAATGTGTTAATGTTTTGTTTCCCTTGGTCTAGAATTTGAAACCAAAGGTTAAAGGTTAAGACAGTCAACCACAACCTCTACAACACTAAAAAGAAGATTAGTGTGTTAATGTTTTGTTTCTCTTAGTCTAGAATTCGAAACTAAAGGTCCTTTAAAGGTTCCTTCCATTATTATAATTTACTTCATGTTTAGAATTTCATTTAATCAATTTTAATAGCTACTACTTTGGAAATCAACTCAGTGTGAGGAGGATATCTGAAAATCAATAATGTACACACTAGCTTGTTCAACTGATAAAGAAAAATTGTATGAGGCCTAAATATGAAGATATTCCTAACCCTAAATGTGAGGCCTTTAACGTCTTTAATGCGAAAAGTGAGGAGATCTAGTGTTAAGCCTGAATATTATCCTCTTCTTATTTTTGTTTTTAACACTGTCGGATTAACCATCTATCATGCAAATATCAACCCTACCTTAAATTACTGTGATGGCTACCATTCACTTCCCTAGGCAGCCTGTAGATTGAACCTTTATTTGTGTTTTCACCATCAAAATGGAGCCTCTCCTTTCTAAATCAACAAACATTAATTATCTCAGATTATCAAATTTAGGGTTCTTGCCAATCATAGATCCAGATTTGCCCTGATATAGCATTTTCTGGACTGAACCAATAGGGAACAGTCACAACCAGTACAATTACTTAAACTTAAGATGTTGCATCAACATATCCTGTTCCCAGGAGACCAAAAGAAGGCCTTAATGAATGAATCAAGCATTCAATCTAGCTATCAAATTTTCAACTTGTATGAAAAGGTTCTCTCATTGGGAAACTGTCAAATGCAAATAAAAGCACAATAACAGACCTGAGTGTAGTTCAAAGGATTCTTGCAGCTCAGCTATGACCAACTCAATGTCCTTCTTAGAGTCACGGATCAATTGAGCCTTAGCCTTCTCTCCCAGAATACATTTTGTTTCTTTTCAGGGCCTATGCGGATAAAGGTATTAACTCATAAGAAGTCCCAAGAGGACATCAACTAAAGAACACACAGAAAAAAAGCAGAAAATATTAAGTTGCTTTAGTGATATACCGGAGTTCAGCTTGTGGACCCCTTGCTTATCTTGACTGATGTCGAGTTAATTCCACCACAAAGACCTTTGTCAGAAGAGATGGTTACAACAACGCTCTTCTGACATCAACACCTAACAATGTGACAAGAAATATTAATAAAATGAGGCTGAAAAATACATTTTAGATACATATAACCGTAAAAGATTATTAAACAATATAGCAGAGGTATAAACAAGATGGTAAACAGTCAAAGGCTCTATGCCCTAAATTCAAAAGCATGTTATGTATGGTTAATTAACAGATCAAAGTTAGAACACTTCCCATTCTATGTTGCTTCAACTCTTCATTTTCCTTTTAAGTATTTAAGACCAACACTTGTGTCCAACAAATTTTCAGACATGGGCATTGGGATATAACCCTCCAAGATGCTTCCAAATATATGGAAAAATTTTTTAAAAAAATTGGGCATACCCATATCGAACACTCCTATATTCGACACTCACACTTTAGTTACTCTTTAGCATCCAGATTTGTAAAACTTAAGTTTATTCGCTACTATGCATAAAACACCACTCTATTTTAACCTGAACCAAGTAATATTAGTTATTAACTGATCAAGCAAGGTATTATTGATACAGAGCCAGTATTTAATAACCAGAGCCTCTTTTAACCAAATAATGCATATCAATATAACACATGATTTTCAAACATAGGTGCTATAAACTAAGAAGCATTTATAAAAGTACATCTTGTCTGCAGAATTGTTCTGTCAACAATCAAAAACCAAAGTTACATTTGCATAAACCTTCTAGGGAGAGTGTATGATGGAAAACTAAGCCATTGCATCATATAATTGACAACATGAACACCAGTTCAACATAAATGGGAGAGCAGAGCACAAAGTGACAATTAACAACTTGAGATAACAAACATTAGGAAAATGAAATGAGAATGCAACCAAATTCAATTGAATTTGAATTTGTTCAGTAAAGGGAACATATAAGAGGCTTGTTAGAGGACATACTAGGTAGATCGCCAAGAAGTGCAGTAAATGGCTGCCAGAGGCCTCGGGAATTCTCAGCTTTAGTTTGAATTGCTCTCAACTTTGAGGCAGCAACCATCTTCATAGCCTTTGTGATTTTCTGAATATTCTTAACACTCTTCATCCGGTTTCGAACTGCATAAATAATTGATCATCACCCATGTTAAAACCTTCATCAAGAACTCTGACCCTAAGAGAAAAAGTAACAAGCAAGTATATAAAACATAATATTGAAAAAAAAACAAAGAGAAAATCAAACAAACCCTACCGATTTGAGTTGAAATATAACGAAAACCAATCCGACCCTCATCCCTGTCATCCAAATTAATTATTAGTAGTTCACAACATATCAAAAAATGAAATTGCAAAAATAAGAATTTCATTATAAATCCTACAAGGTTCAATCAAAATTTGACATATTCATATTTTCTCATTCTTTTGAGTAATTGAACACGCCACAATACCAACCGTTTAGCACAATTCTAGACATATTCAATCGCAAAAGAAAATAAAGCGCCATTAAAAAACCCGAAAGTACATTATGCAAAACTTTAATTTGTTCAGAAACAGTGGGAAATCGAATCACTCTAAAAACGCGAAATAGAAAATATCTTCCGTTCGATTATCAAGAAAGCAAAGAGAAACAAATAGCATTCGGGTCTTCAGCTAGAGAAATAGACAAAAAAAACAAAGATTTTTTACCTGGTTTGTTAAACATTGAAGAAAAATCAAGGAAAGATAAGTAAAATGCGAGATTGCATGAAATGATGAGTTGAGAGATCGGTACTCGTGAGAGGGAGCGAAAGGAGAGGATCGGACGGCCGTGACTGGGCGGGAAGAGATCAGAGGGGCGAAACGTCTCCCTTCACGTCTGAGAGCAGCCATCGCCATTGCTTACTGATACGGGAAAAAAACCCTAGAAAATCGTTGCTATTGTGGATCAATGCTATTCTTTTTGTTTTTGCTTTTAGGTACTCTCTCGCAGAGCGGTGTTTTACTGCTATTGGTTAAATTGAAAAACTTTACTTTGAAAACAATAATAAAATTCAGAATAATGCGGATGCGAAGGATTCAAGCAAATCCAATACGACACCGTTTTCCAACTCAAGTTACCTGGTTAAACGAGTAACAATCCTAAGATAAAAGACATATTAGTTTGTAGTTGGATTTGTTCTTTATATATACATTTAACACATTTGAGATGATATATTGTTTAAAGTTTTTTAATTATTTTACAATGAATGTTTATATATTGTATAAACGATGTTTAAACTCGAGACTTTAATGAATAACAATAAATCTTTTAATCACTAATATATTAATTTGTAGTTGGCTTGGTTACTTTATTTTTAAATTAATTTTATATTAATAATTATCAAAGATATACAAATGTTTTTATAAGTTATAAGTTCGAAACTAATCATTAATATTTGACTAAATAATTATGTGACCTTTCATTTTTTTAATATTTTAATTATAATGTTTCAATTTTAAATAAAATATCTTTATTTAGATAAAATTATTAGTTAATTATCTAATATATTTGATTAAATTCCCTGGCTAAGCCTTGCTCCTTCATCCTGGTGGGCACAATTTTGTTGGCTTGATTTCATAGGATGTGAAACATGTTATAATCCAATTGGCCAAACAAAAATAATAAAAAATATTATTTTATTGTTGACATATTTAAAAAAATATTAAAAATTATCACGAACGTTTTGTTATATTTTTAAAAAATTGAAAGTTTAGGTATTAAAATGACAAAAACTGATAGTTTATGTACGAAATGAA